TTCTCCCTACTCTTAGGATATTCTTCCCCACCCTCAACAACTTAAACTTGTATGAACTCCAACCCCAAAAATCCCCAACCAAGCATGGGGGGCTGGGGAATTCTGGGCATTGAAGTCCATACAGCTTAAAGTTGCCAAGGTTGAGAAACACTGGGTTAAGGACTTCCTCGTTTTGTAAATTAAACTGGAATCTCTTTTGCAGAGGAATTAAAGCAGCTTTAACCAGAAGGGAATATTTTACTTTAGAGTATGCATGAATTGCATCGCCTGCTGATTTATCACCGCTGCTGTTTGTTTTGCACTCATTTTCTGTGGCACCCCAGCTGGTGATCCAAAAGGGTGAAATAAAGATGACTAATCAAGAAACAAGGGCCCAGTTAGGAACTGACCCCATTATGGAAGCAGTGGTGCCCCCAATTTGTTTCATGACCATTCAATTTACATACCCTTCCAGCCAGCATTGTAGGAGGAGAATGGGGTTAGTCTATGGGGGCCAAAAATCAAGAGCCTGGTAGCCTCTTTTCTGACTAACATATTTTACTCAAAGGAAAGTTGTTTGGGATCCAGAGCCACAACAAATCCACTCCCAAAGTGGTTCAGCCCTTACGGTGTTCACAGATCCTGCTTGCACACAATATATTAGACTAAAATAGGGTTGGGTTGTTCGTGGTTGGGAATGAGAATGGATCCCTTGTCACGCTAAACCTGGTTCTTTGCGTGGGGATTTTGTGTTCCTCGACTAGAGCCATTTCACCACTTTAACCTGGCTTGAGTGTTAAGCATATGGCGACCCAGATGGGGTTCAGCATCATCTCCAGTGATAGGCTGCCCTTCCCCATTCCTTTGCCCCCCCCCCAGAAGCCCTGATGGGCCAAATGGGTGGCACCATAGCCAACCTACTGGTACTGATCTCTTCTTTACTCCACACATTATCCCCTCCAAGTGGGCCTCCCAAACATTCTGTGGGAAGAACATCTCTGTGCAATTGGGGGAATCGGTTTCCAAAAATGCACCCTGGTGATAAATCTCAAAAAGCAGCACATCAGCAATGCAGACCGCCTACACTTGGGAGGCTGTCACGGGAACTTGCACAACTCTGAGCAAATCCATTCATTTCCAGATTTTTGCCTGTGTTGGGCTAAAAGGAAAGAAAAGGGGGTAAAGTCTAATTTTTGTTATGGTAGATCTTCCTGAGAACTGGTGTAAAGCCTAATATCTTGCTGCTGGTCCTCAGGTGAATGGGGAGATGGGGAGGACTCGGGGATGTTCTCCCCAGTTAGTGGCATGATCTAAATCAGCGTTTCTCAACCTTGGCAACTTTCAGATGTGTGAACTTCAACTTCAACCACCCAGCATGGCTGGCTGGGGAATTCTGGGAGTCCACACATCTGAAAGTTGTCAAGGTTGGGAAACACTGATCTAAATATTAAGTACTTCCCATCAAGAGAAGGAAACCAGAATGCAGAAATCTGCGTCACCCAGTTCTTCTATCTGCCACTGCTCTTTGATGCAGCTGGTCCTACTTCACAGGTACGTTGCTGGAAAAATGAACTTTTGAGCTCCTGAAGAATTGGTAGGACGAGTGAATGAAGAAATGAAGGAACAAATGGATGAGATCCAGGTTCCCTTTCCAAGGTCACCATGTCTGCAGCTGAGGTGAGCAGACAGATCTGGCTCTTCGAGGGCAATGGGGAGGGTCCTTGATGTCCCATGGCAATTTTTCCAGCTTTAGTAATTAATTAGATATTTTCGCTAAGCTTCTATGCCTTTCCAGTGATGTTGCCGCTCTGCAGAGCAGCCCCCTTCTCCTTCAGGCCCCAGTATGGCAACCTTCTCAGATGTGGACCTTCTTGAAAATGATGTGGCCGTGCCCACCTAAGTCACTGGGAACTGAGCTCCACTTGAGATTTTTACTTTTATTTTACTTTTATATCCTTATCTGAATGGAAGAGCGACATATGCCATAGCCATGTATAACTTTAAGCTACTTAAAGCTTAAGCTTTTAATATACTTAAATATTAAAAAAAAACCCAAATCTAGATTTCCAGCCCATGGTTATGTGTAACATAGTTTGTGTATGTGAATCTGTGTGAACAGGCAGATCGGAAATCAATTTTACAAATGGGTGCTTTATTTTACAAGCAATTAATTTAAATTAGAGGCATGACTTGGATTAATATTAATTTTGGTCCTGGCCGTGTCCATGAATATACCTCTGGCCTACTGGTACATTTGTACACAGATATATTCACATCCAAGTGCGTTGTAAATCCACACAAGTAAATTTACAAGTGTCACATGCACACACTTTCTGTTATCTTGACATTCGTGGTGAGGAACATCTTAAAGTCAAGATACCATAAAAGTATTTGGAAATTACAGCTGGTACTCAATGAAGTGGCCTCCCTATCTTTGAGTCCCTGACATTGAGAGCGCAGAACACTAGTTTTGCAGACCCTGCATTGGTTTCTGGGTCCAGTTTAAGGTGCTATTTTTGATCTATAAAGCCATTTATGGATTGGCATCTGGATACGTGCAGGACTGGCCCTGTAAATTAGATTTATCAGGAAGAAAGTGCCACAAATCCCACTTTCAGGAGGTTCGAGGAGCCAAGGCAGTGCCAATGCTGTGGAACAGCCTCTCCATGGAGATCAGCCTAGCTCTCTCTTTTTTTTCAGAAACTTCTAAAGACTGAGCTGTTTTAGGGTCTTCCCCTGATCTGATGTTGGCATTTTATTTTAATGACTTTTTTGTATTTCTATGTATCACTGCATTGGCATTGCGTTCTTCTATTGGCACCATGCATGTTTTAAATTATATTTTCTTTTCATAAGCTGCTCAATTTGTTTTGATTGCCCGGGCATTGAAATATGCTTCATAAGCAATCATTATTTCCAATAAACAGGGGCGTGGGGGCAAAACAGTTAATGGACTATATTACTTGCAAATAGTCCAAAGACACCAACGCTAACAGAATACGGAGAAACGGAAGGTTAATTTAGAGCAGCATACACAAATGGCTGCAATGTATAAATATAAAACAATGAAGAAATTTTACAAGTTATAATTTCCTAAGTAATTGACACATTGGAGGACTGAAGCCTCCATGACAAATTTAGACCCCCTTGTTTGCTGAATTGGATCTTATTTTTTGCATTTTGGGCTTTTATTCTTTTCAAAGCTGTTTTCGCTCTCTTGTATTTTTTTAAACTGTTTAAAGAAACGAAGACGTTCTTTGCAATTGCTGCTTTGAAGGATATCTTTAAGGCTGGAGAGTGACCTGATTTCTATTTCTGTCCTGTCCAGACTGTGATGTGGATTGCGCAGTGGAGAATGAAGCCCCTGTCTGCTCAAGCCCCGTTTCCCCCACCCAGAACTGTCTGCTGGCATCAGTGCCAACATTTGAGCCCAGAGATGCCGCAAGGGTGGATTTTGAGCGAGGAACCTTTTTCAGGACCAAACCTTGTTAGTCTGCACCTTAAGGGAATTATGCATTATAGTCCATAGATGAATATTTTAAGTGGTACTGGACTCTGCTGTTTTCTGAGAGGCTTCATAAAAACTTGAGACAGCATCAGTGATCTTTTGATACTGAGATGCATTTAATGGCTTTGGGAAAGGCAGGCAATACCAAGCGAATAAGGTTGTGTAAGTGACATGTGCCCAATTTTTCCCCCTTTTTATTAGGTTTTTTTTTAACGGGAGAAGGGAGCTTCTGAACTTTTAAATTGTGTTAAGGTTCAGTTTTCCCCTTCTGAACGGAAGAGGGGGCTGCAATCTGGTGGCACAATCATCAGGGGCTCCAGACTGCCACATCTTGTTTTAAGAGAAGGGTTCAGCAAAGCTAAGGGATTTAATTTTCCTAGACAGCAATAAAAGAAACTCCTTGGACTTGATGATGTGGGAGAAGCACTGCCTGGGGCAGGAACACAAGCCCTGGGATTTTTGACGTGATTCGTCTCTGACAAACTACAAGCAGGAAGCCTGTATCTCCCCTCGGGGGGGGAACCAAGGTCACCTTCGATCAGAAGCGCCCCCCCTTCCCATTTCCGACACAGAATCCAAGCCAAGATCCTGCTTTCTGCTGCCTTTTATTAGCCGCAAATCAGATCAATGGCTGGAAGAGACATTTCCCTTTATATAAAAAAGAGCCTTAAATTTTTTTCAGCCTCTGCAAAACTCTACGAAAAATCCCTATCACCTATACAATTGCAGAACCAAAGCCTCCACTCAGATCCTTTGAAAATGGAATTTCTTTTATCGTCTATAAACGATAACGTTCTTGGGATAACACCCAGATTTTTTTTTATCGGTAGCTGTCACTCGGGAGGATTTGTTCGCAGTTGTCCGCACACCGCTAATTCCGTCTTGTTCTGGCTTCCCCATTTTCTTCAGTTGATCTTATGCTTTTTCCCTGGTTTGTTACGAGTTAATGCTACACATCTTTTTTTGAAAAAGACACTCTGTTTTCATATTCAATCATGTTATGTTGTGATATTCAATCGTTCAATAAAAAAAGAGTCCCATCCGCTGGTCACAATGGACGCTAACTTATCCCACGTCCCATTTGCAGATAGGAGAGTAAAAAAGAGAGATGGGTAAAAAATGCCCACCAAGTTCCTTTGCACAGTGGGACGTAATTCCAGTCTCCATTCCCGAGCCCTCTCCGCATCTGTCTCCAGGGCCTTGTGCTTTATCTCCTGGATCCCTTGAAACGATGCTCCTCCTGGGTTTGGCGAGTTGGCGGGAGCCAAAGTCACCTTCGAAAGTTCCGTTTCCAGCCAAGGGTTGAGAACCAACCAGCAAAGATCCCAGCAAGAGGTGAAGAGGACCATCAGGTCCTCTCAGATTCTGGCCAGGGGAGAATCGGAGGAAGAGGGAGCTGAGCAAATCCTCGCTGACGAATCGGAAAGTCTCTCGTCCGGCGCTCCTCCTGCTCGCCGCTGACCCCCTGGGGAATCAGAGTTCAGAGGGACTTCCGGGGCCGTTTGAGGAAGGAGAGGGCGTACGTTCGGGGGGCCGAAACCTTCTGCTTTTTCAGCTGCACCTGAGACTGGGCCGTGAGCTGTAGTTTGATGGCGCTCGAGTTGATCTTGGCGGCCACCAAGAGTTCCTTCATGCCCTTCATCTTCTCGCTCTGGAAGGTGAGGACGGGCCCTTCAGGAGGGGGGCTGGACCCGCTGCCGAGGCCCTCCTCCTTCTCTGGAAGGGGCCGGTCCGGCCGCTGGCTGGAACTGGGCCGCCGGCGCTCCGTGGCCTTCTTGCCCAGAGGCGG